TAAACGCCAAACGAATGAACTCGTATCCATAAACGACGAGATGCTGAAAGAGATGAAGGAATGGATGGCAGCATACGGCCGCCTCGTTTGTAGCTTTCGTCAGCGTTCGGTACTGCAAAAAGCCTAACATTGTCGCGATTTCTTAGTAGAATTATCGAATGTGTGCATTTATACATTTGTTCTGGATAGAGCTTTACCTCTTACTCCTTGATACATATCTCGATGCAGCTTGTAGTATGACGTTCAGTAATAGACAAACAACAATATGGTGTTTTTCATACCGCCTAGACTAGTTGGATTAGCTTTTCACCGAAGACAAAATAGTTTCAAGTCATGTTCGCCATACTCACGCTTTGATTACATACACATGTACATACATTCATCACATAACAGCAAAGGGTAAGTGGTGTGCTTATGCGTCATCAGCCTGCAGGGTTAGGCAACAAAGATCAGCCAATCAATTCCAGTTTAGTGAGCAGCAACTATAGGAGAATATCTTTTTCTCCCCCCTTACTTGCTATTACCCTCTCTCCCTCTTTCTGCCCTTCTGCAGAAGTCATGATAAGCTGGGAGGTACGATGGGTTTCGAAGTGACGGAAACGATGTCGTCGCTGCAACGGCATGATTGGGAAAAACCATGGATTGTTACGGGCTACGGAACTGAAGACGTACGTAAGAATGCGAAGCGCCTTTCACGAGGAGATTGAGGGGTCGACAATAGCGCTCGTGATAGAAACAGAGAAGTGAGAATACGCAGAGGTAAATCGAATGAATATGCCACTCGATTTGGCACCGTAGAAAGATGGGTGACGCAGACGTTGATACATTGGACCTAGGCGATATAGGAGCTTCGCTACTGATTTCGAACAGGTTTCTACTCGATAAACGGTAAGCTAGGAAGTCAGGAAACTCGGAATAGTAGAAAACTCAACGCAGCGTAAGGCTATTGATTGTCGGGAGACTTAGGGAAGGTCATAGGTAGTGGTAAATTGGGGCGCCACACTTACTGCGGACCTTCGAGTCGTCGCCGGCTAGGAACCTGGCGAGAATCTAATCCTCCTTCTCTGTACAGTGCTTGCTGAAGCTACTGCTTTCCCTAGCCCTGTTATTGCCCATGTACTGTTTTCTGCCCAGTATTTCGAAATGGCCTGCCGTGCTGTGCGTGAACCTCTACGCAGCCCTACCACCATATATAGTATATTCGCATATGTGCTCTATACAGAAAGGAGGACTGTTTAGGAAGGTCAGACCAGTAAAAAATCGAACAGAAGACATCCACGAAAACGGGCCAAATGATTTTAAAAATCGCATTAACAGTAAAATAAGTCAGATTTAATGAAACTTTTCGAATTTATTTTTCCTTAGCAGCATGCCTCGTACAACCGGTTGCCTGTAGCACCTAACCACAATTGTCCGAATCATTCTAACAGAATAATAATATAACATTACAACTTCCCGCACAAAACTGAGTACGGGCTGTTTTGGACGCCGCCGATATTTGATTTCCTACCCATGATATTTTTTTTGTATACTGGCAGTGATCGTTTCGCTGATATAGGACATTTCGTACCAAATGTCTCATATGGACTACAGAAGTAACGTTATGCTCCTAGAATTTCGCCACCCAGAGCAGACAAGTACATAAAATACTATGCTTGAGATTTTTCTAACAAACAGGAAATTTGCTTTGAAATGCTAAATGCTAAAAAAAAATCGCTAACTGCTTTGGGGTTTTTTAAATAGTACAAAATTACTACTGGCTTTGTTATTGTTTTACATGGTTATTTGGTGTATCAATTAACTATTAAGTATAATTATTATTCCGGATTACATACAAGTTAGACATTATAACGTATAATTCATATGATTAAAATAAATGTCCATTTATTTCTTGTTATTGGGAGCTTCGCATTTCACTGGATGCGCGAAGTAGACCAGACCGTCTGCATGATTTACGTTTCGTTTACATTTTTATAACTATAATCAACCATATGTACATAATAATATGTCTATCAATCATGTTACTAGCCCTTCTTGTGCTAGATTATAAAGCGCAGTATAAATAGAGAGAGAGCAGGGCATTAGGCTTTCCGGCGAACACACAGGGTAGTGACGGGAGGAATAAGCGGGGCAACGAAACTGCGGAACTCAACTGACAACTTCTTATATCGATCACTTTTTTCCTTCTGATTGTTTCCGTTTGTCTGCCGTCCTCATTTCCCACCCAGTAGAAACCACTGAGTTAGCCGATTGGAAAGTAAAATTTATTCTATTTTTACCCTCGACTTGACAGAAGTTCTTGTTCAGTTGCCTTTATTGTGATGACGATCCTTCGGCTGCTGCTAATATTTTTCCAGCTATTTTTCACCCATTACCGATGAAGAACAACCTTGCCTCCATTTTACAGCTTATGACATCTAAATGGACGATGACTCCGCCCGTACTATTAAATCTCTCATTCCTTGCTATTTGCCTACCTATCAGAGCCGCCGCTATAAACGTTTTTACCAATAGCGATTTAACCATACGGTATGTTTCGTATTGAATGAACGGCCCCACAACATGCCCATATGTGGATGTAACCATAATCAGTCGGTTTAGGTTTTCCGTTTGAACCTGTTCCGTTTGAACGAAGCGTCGAGCACATTGAGTACATGTACATCTGCAGACACCCCGCCGGAGAGGTTTGTCTCAATAGAGACAGAAACTATATCGATCAGGTCAATGATATTATATATGTCACGGTTAGAGTTTGTTTTGAAATGAAAATTGCTGCTTACTAGCTTTGCAGGTTCGTTGCCGACTTATTGCTGCTTAATACTACAGGCGCCCTGCAACATGAACAGCTTTTCTATGAATTGATATGGTGTATCTGCTCAAGAAGCGAATTAGCCTTAAGTATTCGCCATACGGATCGAGTCAATCGAATTCGGGTGACAACCAGGCTCAACTCCAAAAGACCTTGTTTACTTGGTGTGTTAACCATCGCCTCCTCTTCTTGTTTGTGATCTCGGCCATGCCACTAAATCACTAGTTCTGAGAAGAGAAAGAACTTCGAGTGCCACTTCCGTCCTTCACCCTGTGTTCCAGGGGTTTCCGTATCCGGCTTGATGCGGTGGTTGTGGATGCGTGTAGGTGGCCTGTTGACTGTCCTAGGATCCAATTGGTTTGCTGCTGGAATGAATTAACATCGCATAAGTCGCCCTAGCCCTGTACATTAGCATCACTTCGAATTGCCTGCATCTCTCGTTTGCCCCTTTCTTTTCCAGTCTCGAACGCTAGCTTCAGTCCTAATTTACTGGTTTTCCTCTGCGCTATTTCTGTTCTCTCTATTTTTCTTTAGGTCTTCAGGCAACTTGACCTATTGAATCGAATGAGGTCATCGTCCTCGTGTGGCGCAGATCTGCTCGATTTAGTAGCGGTATGCGCGCCGAGCGCATCCAGCAAGGAGCCGCGCCGCAAAAGCTACAAGGGCGGAAGAAGTTTGTGTACCGCTTCCGTAGTCCCGCAGGTCGAGCTGAGATGTGGTGCTTGTCCAAAAGTTTCGAAAGTACGAAGCTGGCTTCCGGGAAACCACTAGATTTTTCAGCATGAACCAATCTCTTGAAGCGACGACGACCGAGTGAAGGTCATCGTAAGGAACACGAGACACGGTCTCGGGGCTGTCACTGCAGGCAACGGAATTAACGCTTACAGGGTACGAGTTTGTATTGTGTGAACGTTATTTTACCCACCGCCACTACTACTGCTGCAGCCGCGATTCCCTGAAAACGCGCACGCGTTCTGAAGATCACGATTGCTTCATGTAGATTTATCAGCTAAGATAACATTAGCAACAGCAGGAAGTTATTGCCAACAGGCTTACTTGGTATGCTGTCAATCTGCCAGCGAAGTCAGCCCAAGCGTTGCTTGACTGGCTTGTCGGTTAGCCACTTTTAGAAGCACGGAAGAAGAGATTAGCCCTCGTACAAGGGCTCCGGGCACCCAGAGAAGCTGCACGGGTGACCCCAGTCTACTACGCGAAATCAGTGCAGGCTATTGGTCGCAGGCCGGGAATGATGGTAAAAAAGTGTGTCGGGAGGGGGTTCGTAGAGGAATCTTGACCAGCCTGTGGCGTTCAGTGAGGTAGCGACCGACAGTCAAAACACCCACGCGAAGGCCAGGAATGCCTGGTTCACTGTTCGGTTTACCTTGGTGTGCTTTGGTTTAGTCCTGGGCAGCGGATCCAGGTCTTGACCGTATGCAACCGTTAGTTTGCTGCTGTTGAACCTATATTTATACAGTAAAAAGCAAGGGGAATCGAAGGCATTTAATTCTGTCGTGCGTGCCGGCCCACTGTAACCCTAGTAAGAAGTATCTTTTGCTAAATCCGCCTTCCAAACTTCTACGGATGCCAGTTGATCGAGCGTTTATCAATTGAGCCCATTTCCATAAAACAACCAATATGTTTAGCAGTGCCTCATCAGGTTAGCAAAGGGGCGTCTTTTTTGGGTGTGGCACAAAGAAAGCTCGAACTTACAAGAGCCGAACGATAAAGCAGTTTGCTTACGTACCGTTCTTTTACGTCGCCATGAATACTGCGCAATATGGGCGTGCGCTCTATAGGACAGCCGACTAGAATAATACCTTGCTTCACATGTAGCTCCCATCGAAAACAGCCAAGAAAGTTGTATACTTATGTGAATAGTATGATATAATAAAATATAGTATTTTCTAAACCTCTCTTACATTCAATGACGCATTTTATAGCAAAGCTGTATTTCTAGTAAATTGCGTAATATAAAAATTTACTAAACAGACATTTCTAATTTAACAGTGCGTGAATCCACGGCTCTCAGTCTCGTGAACTGTTAGAGTAAACACCCTTATATATGCATCTATGTCTGCTTAAAAGTATAAAAATGTTGTTTTTCTACCACATCAAGATATATATATATATATATTTTTTTATTTGGTATGTAGTATTGACCGTATGCAGTATAGTTAGTTTCATTGCTTACCATGTATAGACTGCTTGTACGGTGAGTCTATCCACCGAACCGCTGGTGGCCGAGGAGTATTCCGATCCTCGGCGTCCAAGTATAGCGTTGGCCTTGGCCGTTCCTAGGTGACGGAACTTAACGTCGAATACTGGGCTGGGGGGCTGTTTGTAAAACGTGGGTAGCTTGTCCACGCATAGGGACCTAGACCTGTCTCGTCGCGGTACCGGAATGGGCCCCTTCACTTCGTGTTGTACCATCACTTTCATTTTGGATGACGACGTTGGCGCCATCGGAAAGTCGTGCACGTCTGGCGGACTGTACGACTGCGTGGCTGTGTTAGGTGAGTGCATCGACAGGCCTCCTAAGTTGAGTTGCACCTTCTTGCGCTTCTTTGTACCCCCTGTTCCCGTCTCCGCGCCCCCTGTCCCTTGCTCGCAGCGATTCACCAGCATGATTGTTGATACGCTCGTCAGCTTCTTCGCTACGCCCAGCCTCAGCGGAAAGACGGTCGGCCGGCGGACGATCGTTTTCAGCTTTAAAAAGACTTTCAGATCTCCTCCGAGCGGATGCGATAAAGCTGTCTGTCGTCTATTAGCGTACAACAATCGACGACCGGTGGCAGATTGCTAGTTGGCTGTTGTCTGTGTTTGTTTGCTGTTGCAGATGTTTACACATTGACGCTGTAGCTGTTTCTGCGATTGTTGGCTGGCTACGCAATCCGTGTCAGTAAACAATTTTCAACGTAGCATAGCGCTAACGGCTGTGAGCGCTGGCTGGGTCCTTGTCCGTGCGTTAGGGGCAGGCAAGGCCCTAGCACCAATTTGTCACTCGCCACTTTGTTCCCTTCTACTTTGGTTGTGATGAGTTCAGGCGACCCTGTAGATTTAATCTTGATCAAGGATAATCATAGTAACACCAAGAAGGACAATAATGACGCATGTACGGTTGTAACTCCCAATGAAATGATAACGTGTTTCGAAAAGCCAAACAGGAACCATAAATGTATTGGAGTATCAAATCTATAACAGTATAGTCGTAGGTTGCCTTTGGGATACGCAGGGAGGCAAATCACACAATTGAAAACACTATACTAATACACCTCAGTTCAGTAGATAGATCTGGCCGTGCCCTTCTTGTAACGGCTGAAGCAATAGTTGCTGTCGTAGCTGATAACGGTCTTGCTATCTTCGCTGTACAATGACCCGTTCGATGATGCAAGTGACGATAAACACGTGATCCAGTGCAAAACGATTGTGTTGTTAGTACCGGCTGACCACAATGATAAATCACGTATCAGCGACCCAAACAATGACTGATCGGCCTCTACCACACCATTGACCATAGGCGGAATGATTGTGTACTCCCAGACAGTCAACGAACATCTAGGCGGACAGGCAGATGGACATACATGATAGGAATAAAAAGCTGTGCTGCCGTGGTACCACTTCGCCGTTGGTCAACCGCAGCGTAACTGCTGGTCCTAAAGTTGACGACACCGTCGAGTTCACGCGTCTGCTACTTCACCGAGACTTCCGCCAGTTAATATGATGGGATGACACTCGACGTTTGCCGTTGGTCGCATCGAATGGACAGTATGTCTCGTCGTCTCGTTCCCTGTTTCGATCGTTGTCAACTCGAACTGCACTAAACAAACAACAGTTCGATGTGTGCTTACTATTAGATAGCCTAATCATTGATTTATCGATGTCCCTAGAGGCGCGGCTCATTTCCTGGCTTTTCCTGTAACTTTATTCTGAGGCCACCTAGCGACCTTGTGTTGTTAGTCGTCTTGTCGAAATCGTGCATACTGTCTTGCTTTTATGACTGAAAGAGGTAAGCCGTTCTCAATTAGATTGAGTTTTGTAAACACGCTGACGACACCTATAACCGGTAGAAATATCAACTATGGCAGAGTATCTGCAGCAGCCAGTTGCACACACACAGACACGTTCACGAAGACAAATCATGGATTACGCTGTCCATACATCTTATGCATATGATTTACAGTGATATTATTACTATTATCGCTTCTAATGGGTGAGAGAATATACAGTGCAGTGGCTTTTCGTCGGGTTACTGTTTGCATAAATCTATTACATTTAATGCAAAATATTTTGCACTTATAGTTTCGATAGAACGAAGTTCTAATATATCTTCGGTGTATTTATGCAACAGCATTCGCATAGATGTCGACCCCTGGGTTAAGAATTAACTGCTGAGTCCTGTTTAGCGTAGGGTGACTTATTAATTATTTAATTCTATCTTATTCGTCGGTACTTCCCGTAGACAAGGAACGAGACCAGCCTGATTCGATGCTTTATCTTCCGGTTTGTTACGCTGTTCGTCGAAGTTACCCCTCGACTCTAATGTAGCACGATCGCTGCGGTAGATTTCGATGGCAATTGCTTCGTTGTTGAGCCTTCTGTTGTTCTTTCGCAAAAGCTCGTTTCTGCTTCGTGGGGCCACAACAGGCTTCGATAGGACATAACAACGTCCGAACGCCGAAGGCCGGCAGGCGGTCCGGTCGCGGAATAAATAATGCGAAATCGTAGAAGAAAACACACACAGGCCAGATGGCTATATACATGAACTTTTAATATCCAAGCCCTGATTGACATATATGAATAAGGTAACAACTGCGCGCGAAGCCCTTTTTGCGAAGTGGTTGGTTTCCTCCTCTTTCTGTTTGTTGTTACGGCGGCTGTTCATCGCCTTAGTGGTATCAGTTTATCTATTATTTTCGCTTTAACCCTTTTTTCACACTTACTCTCCCTTCGGTATCAATTAGATAAATACACGGTCCGCCTCGTTGAACCTTTGCTAGGGAAACCTCTAAAATCAATTCCTCTTCGCTCAAAACCTGGCTAGTCATTAATCCTTGGTCGTCATCTTCTGCATTTTATTTGACTCCGGGAATCATATCTGTATATTTTGCCTCTGTTGTGGCTACTTGACCTTTGCGTGTGTGTCTGTCTGTGTATCCCTATTTCTCCTGAACGACTGTTTACTTTGTGGTTTGGGCGTGCATATGCACGTGTATGTTTGTGTAACTAATTGAATTTAGAACATTTGTTCACACGTTTATACTAAGACACGCACTTGGATTTTTATGGCATGCTATGCTATGGCAGCTGTCTCTGTGGATCCTTTAGCGGCCGTTGCCGTTTGTGCTATCATCGTTCTTGTTGTCGTTGCTGTCGTTGTTATTACTACCCGGAACTGCCTCGTGTCACCTTTTGGCTCTGACTGTGGCGCCGCGCACTTTTCCTTGAATTTTGCTTCAGTCTTTTTTGTCTCATCAATCGATCCATGTAATATTTTGTTGTTATTGTCGCGGCAATTATAAACAATATCGTTTTAGAAGCTGGTTGTATTGCACCAACTCAGTAGTGAAACTAGCGTTATGGCCAATTTCAAATACCACCGCACTACTACGACTGTTATTCTGCTGACGTTGTTCGAATCGTCTACTTTAGCAGATCGGCACTGGTTGTCCATTGTCGTGTTTGAACGTGACGCACTGTGAACCACCAGCATTGATCGAGTTCGTTGGACAACGATCTCATAACAATCTCTCACACAGGATCAGTGACAGATCACTGTAGATAGCTAACAACTAGGGCTATCAGTGTAACCATCGAAAGCAAAAGCTGCGGTACACAGCACACCAACAATCACGTTACAAGTTCAAGTACGTATCACGAACACGTTTGTCGTTTCAGGATACATGATAAATTCTAACCTGTATCGCTTTACATTTACTAAACACACGAATTGCCCAAGTGTTATTTTATCATCTCTCTCTCTCTCTCTCTCTTTCTCTCTGTTTATTTCGAATTAGAAGATGGTACCCAGAACCACGATTACAGCGATAATTCCGACACGCCGCTGCGTGAACGATCTGAGATACGATCTTGCTTCTTTGACATTATTACGCACTTTATCGACCGAAACAAGAGTTTAACTGATTTATACTGACAGAAATATTGCCCTGGGCCGGACGGTCAACCAAAAGTCGACCGCTGTAGTCGTGACACATGTACAATACATTACGCTACACGGATGTGATAGCAGTTGTGTGATTTTTTCTCGATGACTTGCGTTATAACATTGTGTGTATCTACATCTTTGTACTTTTGAAATTGTGTTTGTAAGTCTTTTTAGTTGTCTTCTCCATATAATTCCCTCTCGTTTGTTTTCTCACTTTTACTCTGCCTCGAACGTTTCGGGTGGAAATGTTGGACGTTTTCGCCTAATCACCACTCTTCCTTGAAATGGGTCCGTAGCCCGCCGAGTCAACGCGATGAACAAAACCTCGCGCTCTGAACGAAATAGCCTAAGTATGAGATCGCGTAGTCACTGTGCCGATGGTGATTGCGGAAGAAAACTATCTATCAATTGACGATTTCGTCGCGTACTGATGATGAGACGAATAGCAATCTGAGCATCCACATTACTGACGCGTCGATCAGATCATAAAGTTGGCCGGCAATTTTTGGGCGCTGTTATCGTCGTCGATATCGTTTACCTCTTTGAGGGGAATTTCTTGTCGATGATGACGATGAGGGCGTGTTGTTGTTATTGCTGTTGCTGTTGTCACTGCTGTCGTCGTTCGTTCTGACCGTTGTTGTAGCTGTCGTCGTTCGCTGTACTGCAACACTTTTTTTTTGCTATTAGTGGTCCATCTACCCGCTATCCTCCGTTTCGCGCCACTCGACACTGCTATTGCCGTTGTTGTTAAGATGTTCCCTTCTGCTATGTTCTTTCTTTTGAAGCACCTCACTTGATTTCCTGACCACTTGTTCGTTTCGCTGAATTTGGCTTTGGTGATCGGGTGAGGTTTGAATGCTTACTACGGTTCAGCCGCACATGTTATTATTGTCGTGAGTGTCGAACGCGTTCGATCATTGCTGAACGTCACCAATTGTTACCTAGTTCAGTTGCCCTTCGGTAGCTTGGCGATTTGCAAAGGCAGGGGAAAACAGTAGAAGCATTTATATATTTCGTTGGCTGTCACTGTTACTCCGGGAATGGTACGTGTCTCCCGACAACATTTTAGCTTTCTCTCCGGCCTGCTGGCGCGGCAGCGGTAGCAGCGGGCAGAAGGCGCTTCTGTGGAGAGTGTGCTTTTCGTGAGGGAGGGTCCTGGGACTCATACCGTATGTTGTGTGTTGTGTGGAGCTGGCCTCGCTAAGTTGCTTTCCCACCACGCAGTGAGCGAGTAAAGGCCTCCTCGATCCGTCGATCCACGTCCTTGGGGCTAGCCAGCGCCGCCGCAGCAGCCACCACGATCACCACTAGCACCGCTACAAACCTGCCTGCAGGACTAAGGCTTCTTGCTGACCGGCCGCTCAGGAGGGAATCATCCTGCGCCCCAATTGTGCCAGCAAACCACGGCACTGCGCTTCCGCTGTCGGCCAGGGAGAACCGGCACGACGGATACTATAAACAGCCATATCAAAAAGGAGGCGGATGGACACTCGGCTGGGTGGATGGTGGTAGCGCCAGGAGAGGCAGAAGACAAAAGAAGACAGGAAAAATGCGGTGCATACAGCCTGCTGCCAGCTGTTTACTAAAAAAAGAAAGAGGTGACTGGATGGGAATGTGCCGACCAAACTACTGAAAATGTGCAGGCTCCTCGTGAGCCTAGAGACTTACAAAGGTGGCGAAGGAAAGTCGCAAGCACGGCGCTAGCGAAGAGATCCAAAGTCGTAACAGACAGTTAGAAGGACAAAGCTGGGTAGAGAGGGAGGATATCTGATTTGGATTCTCCTGTTAGATTTTCAACAGCGTCAACTGTCATGTGTAGCAGCATGGTGCTCAGTGGTGAACGAGCGGGCAACACGAAATGTTAGAGTTAGATTAACTGAGTAAAACGGGGACCGAAGACGACGGGAGACGGGACTTTGAAGCTGAGAAGAGCAACACGTACAACGACACATGTTGTCTTGCTAAAAAGGGGCCCCTTTGTTCCGGAACTTCGGGCCTATAAACCAATTCTGCTTGCAGCTGTTGAACGTCTTACACAATAAAACCCTTTTCGGACCTATTCCTACGCAATTAAGGTAGACTATAATCATACCACAACGCTGAGAAAGTGAACCGTGATCAACCTATAGGCAGTCAATCTGGCGGAAGCTAAAAACACGTAAAAAGTACGTAAGGTCTACGAACGAAGAGTGACAGAGGGAGTTGTTGGGAAAAACATTGTTTGGTTCACAAGGCAAAGAAGAAGCGAGATTTTTGCGTAGTTTTTTCTTATTTGACTTCTTGTTTTTTCATCATCCTGCCCATCAACATGGCCTATTGTCATGTAGGCATATCGGCCTATCAACATGACGGGACCCAGGCCACGAAAAAGAATTGTCGTCACTACAGATATTCGAGGCATAAATTATAGGCTGTTTTGGGACATTTCTGTGGCCCTTCTCTAGGCTGAGAAAACACCATATAATCATATACGAGGCGCTATGTTATTCTAGTCGTCACGGAGGAACATTTATGTGTTTTACACAATATATATATATGTGACGCCCTCAATAATTACCGAACAACAGCAACGTTTTCAACTTCATTTCTGTATTTGCTTTATATACTGCGGTGAATCGAGCAACGGCCATATTGTTTTTAAAGCTTCTAATAAGTGCTACTTGATGTAGCCTGACTTATGTAAGACGTCGTTCAATCCGACAAAGATGGTTTGTTTGTGTCTGCGCATCACTTTGTCTAATTGTATAGCACATGTTAGCTAACACTAACAGTGCACCGACAATAGTACCGGTATGTCCTACAACGGCTACTTGGGGTAGTAGACAGGACAAAAAACAGAGTATCGGTGGTTGAAACACATTGACCATAGGTTGAATCAAATCGGATACAGCTCCCCTCTGCTCTCTTAATTGCTTTGTTCATTTTTCGACTCGCTTTATCTATCTGTGACTTCCCCGTTTAAATACATTGTGCTGCCTAATCCTATCGACCTTTTAAAGACGCCGAGAGACAGCTGTTCTTCAATTTTTGCACACGATAGTAACTACGATGCCTACATGTGTGTTATATGAATATTGTTAAGTGAATGCAGAATGACTTGGATCGAGGGCAGGTACATTTTGCAATATGTTCGTTACGTACGACGATACAATGTATTGTATATATATAACAGCCTTAATATACTGGAAGTAATAGCTTAATATGTACATCATTGGATAATAACGGACGTTACAAGAATCGCATTAGGCTTAACAAAAACTTTAACGCCTAATGAGAAATAAATGCGTCTTGATCTGGAAAGAGCGTCCACATCGTAGGTAACTTCACTGAGTTGCACGGAAAAGGGTACTGTTTAAAATATAACATTGAAATAATCTCCGGGGGTGTGAAAGAATTTGAGTTGATAGAACCTTCAGTTCCTTCAGTGTTATCGTTGCACGAATGAAGGCACAATCGGTATCGATGTCATAACATTTTTTACTTTGATTATTTCAGGCCGTTTCTAGGCAGAAAAACAAGTCACGATAATGTAGATCCTGATCTGATCTCAAGACCCGAATTGGCTTTTGTGCCGAAGTGTGACTAGGTACAAATGTAAAAGCTGAAACCTGGAGCCGGACTTAATATAGGCATCGGCGTGCTCTCGCCCGTGCACAGCGAAAATTATTCCCGTTTGGTGACAAGGAAGCTCTTAACTAGAACTGTAACTTTGTCTTGGTTTAAAGAATTCCGGTCTTGGACTAATACTTTCTTCCCGCGCGTCCCCTTCTCGCCTTGAGCAATTATGAAGTCAATTATATCACTGAAGGTTTCAGCGTTTACTTCAACTGGGAGCTCAGCTTTGCACTTGTTGACCAAGTTCATCAAATTTCCTATGAGTGCGACCTTATCGCTTCACTTGGAAGACTTGATTTGAAGTAGACCGAAATTCGTCTTGTTATCTATTAGTATCACGGTCTGTAAACTCTTGATTTTGTAGACTTTGACTCCTACCTATCATAATCGACTGAAGTTATTGTTCACTCAAACATTGACGCCATATCTCCTGAGAGGAAAAAAACAGAGCCAATTCACGATTGACCGAAGTACAATTCAGAGTCTTACTACTTTGGTTTTGTTCACATAATTACATTACCGACATTAAAATTCTCTCGTTTTTTGAATTTTTATCAATAAACAGCAAATTAGAGCTATACCTCACGACATCGCACTCACTGAGGATGATTTTCACCGATAATGGTTTTCATCTGTAAAAATGTTTCTTCAATTCTTAACTATCTATTAGAATGATATCGATTTTTTTAGAGACGATAACGCCTTTTTTAAATGAACAATTGATACAACAATTGGAAATTGTTGTTAACGATTGAAACAAGGAATTGCCACTTTTCATAGTGTCAACATTTATTTCTAACTTTCTAATCAACATCCGGGGAAACGAGATTTGCTAATTTCTAAAAGTGGACCAATACTCGCAATGTTTGCTCTTTTCAGTGGGTCTCAGAATCCAAAAAAAACATTTTTTGGAATTGGCGTAGTCGAATATTTATAAAACGGACCGGTTTTTATGCAGGATGATGAGTCATAATTAATATATTTATATTCAGCTCAACTTAATTTTAATTTTTTATTAATTATATGCTTGTGTCATCATATAAGCTCAATAAAGATCATAACAAGAGGTCCAGAAAAAATAACTGAAACTTCCGTACTACCTGAAGTAACGTTGGTTATGATTCGCTACTTATCCTTACGGATAGCAAATAAAGCACAACTTATTCATACTGAAAAGGACACGACCG